CTGTGTTGTGACAGGTGACCCTTCACGTATGGGTCAGCAGGACAGGCGTTGCAGGGGATGGGCCCCCAGCCTGGTTTCTGTCGTTTACAGTCAGAGCTCTATTTTGTTATGGTTTTTAACATTTTTAAGCCCTGCTCTATTTTACTGGGCAGGTTTGTGTTGATGTTTACCCACTACAGTTTTTTAACAGTGTCAGCTCACATGCCTTCTCTGTGCCACCACAGCGCCCACCGCCTTGTCCCCAGCCCGGGGCACCGCCCCCCGGGCCCTCCGACCAGACCCTCCTCCCTGCCCCTGTCCTTCATCCCCACGCGGTGCTGGGGGCTCAGCTCCGTGCCCGCCCTGCCCCTGCAGAGACCCGAATCTGGCCTGGCGCCTAGCCTGGTCCTGCATGGCTGTGAGGTGGCCTGTACCCCGCTCTTAGAAAGGGGAATCTCAAAGGAGGACACCTCCTTCCCAGGTCTCGCTCTTTCTTCGTTGCCTTAGCTGCGGCAGAAGCAGAGGGCCAGGTGTCCAGACGCCAGCCACGGGGGCTGCAGCTGCGGCCCTGGGCTTGCTTGAAGCCAGAGACACAACTGAGAGTCTTAGTTCTGGGGGGGAGACCGACCTTCTGGGAAACCCAGGAAGGATTTTTTATGAGTAACTAGGAAAACTCAGCCTCAGGAACACCTCAGCCCTGTGTAGGGAGGACTCGTTTGGGGGGACTCAGAAAAGACAAAAACAGACGTTCCTGCAGGCCGAGCGCCGACTCAGACCGCGTGAGAGGGCCGGTGACCCGAGGGCACGCAGGCGTGGGAAGCAGAACGGCCTCTTGGGGTGGTGGCCGGACAGAGCGTGCATGCAGGCGGAAGGCGAGATGGGGCAACGCTGAGTCCCTCTCTGCCCGAGGCCGGCCTGCCACCACCTCCGCCAAGGTGGGCTGAGGCTCACGACACGACCCGGGATCCCTCCCGTCACGTGCCGAGCCTCGGCCAGCAACCAAGGCTCAGTGGCCAGTGAGCGCCTGCGCACCGAGGGCAGAGCCTGCCCCAGGGCCCGGGAGACGGCTCCGCGCACGCCAGGCTCGGCCGGGGGCCCCCGCCCCCGTCCTGGCTCCGCCCTGCTCTTTGCCCCACAGCCCCGACCGGTACCTCAGCCTGGACAGCTCTCTCCAGACGCAGCCTCAGGGCCCAGCCATGCCAGGGAACAGGAGGGCCGTGGGCCAGGGGCTCTTTTCGATAAAACGACAGCAGAGTCATCAGAGAAGACGTCTGCAAGGAGACCTTTCCTAGGGGGTTGTGAGGAATTCTGACAGCCGTGTCTTGGGGTCTGGGTTAGGTGATGACTGGAGGGGATACTCTTAAGTGCCCTTCAGGACTGGCATTCTTGGAATCAAAACGTGCTCAGCACAGAAGTCTTGGCACTCCTGTCCGCACTGCGGGAGAGTGACTGCAGTCACTGTCATTTGCGAGGGAGGCACACCCCAGGCATTCTCTGCCCAGCACATGCCACTGCCTCTTGGCAGTCCCAGGAGTGGTCTGGTCTCCTCTGGGCAAGAGCCCGAGCTGACTCCAGAATGTCTCACCCCCTCGCGTCTTCCCCACTGGAGGACTCTGTGCTCGTCCTGTGACCGCCTGCTGGCTCCTCTACATGGAGGGACAGCACGGTGCTCGTGCCTGGGTTTGCGGCACAGGGGTGGCGCCCTCTTTCCCTGGCTCAGGTCAGACCAGGCTTCATCCTGGAGACGAGCAAGGTGGCCGGAGAGGCCCCTGGAGCAGCACAAGGGGTCCGGTGGGCACTTAAGGAACTTCACGGAGAGCTCCACGGAGAGGTGCCCGGGAGCCAGCTGCATGTATAGGCTTTGGGAAGGCAGGACAATGAAAGGAAAATGAAGAGGGAAAAAGATGGGTCAGATAGCCTCCCCCAGTCCTAGGAAGCCTCATGCCCTCAGACGGGGTCCACCCTGCTTTGACCCTCACTCCAGCCGACACACCCCCTGCAGGGTCTGCATAGCTTAGAAAAGCTCCAAGGGTGAGGGTTGGGGCTTCATCGGACCACTGTTAACTCGGCTTTTGTTAAAATGGACCCGCTCCCACTGATCTGTTATTACCTGTCTCTCTCACACTTCTTGTAATGGTAGTTATTTATTGACTCTGGTAGCGGGCAGTTCTTAAATAAAGATGGATTCTCAACCTGGGGAGGCAGCTGCCACCAGCCGTGGGTGCTTTTATCCTCAGACTAAAGAGTATCTCCTGGTCATGTTCTCTAACCAGAGGCCTCTATCCAATACCTTCAACCTTCCACACAGTCAGCTCTAAGGGTCAGAGCACATACTACATGCTGCTTCGTTCAGTGCTGCGAGGGCAGAAAACTTAGGCCGAGCGACCTTAAGGCGGGCTCCGCAGAGCAGAGCAGGCGTGCTCCCTGCCTGCTGGCTCTCCCGGACAGGGCAGGCAGTAAACCGTGTTCCTGTAATGATGCTGTTCTCAGCTCCCCTGCTTTTTTAAGGCATTTGAGGTACAGGTTCTCCTGCTGCTCACAAGTCAAGTATTCCTATGAACTCTTAAGCTGAAATGGCGTAAAGCAAAGAAGCAATTACCTTTTTTTTGAAAAAGGGAAAATCCTCTTCAGATATCTTTCAGCTAGTGAGAACAGGTACTAATGTAGGCTTCTCATAACTCCGAAGTGGTGGAAAGTGAACTTTCAAAAAGCAGGAAATACCTGTATTGACTCAATAGTTAACAAAGGGAAGTTGTCTCCCTGCAGAGAGTGACCCCCTCCTGGGAAGTGGGTGCCTCCAGCCTCGGCTCAGCAGCCTAATGAATGAATTTCTAGTCACATTTTCCAACTACACCACCATCCTGCATTCAACATTTGCCACAACTTCTATTACACCTGAGATGCAGGACACACAGGCAGCTGTATAAGTGTTCGGTTCTTTCAGTGCGAAGCAGGTAGGGCTCTGTGCTAACTGCACTTGACAGCTTTCAGCAGGGAAAACAAGGTGAGCGGAGGCCTGCCCCTGGCCTGCTGGGCACAGGGAGGCCGAGGCTGACAGTGAGCCCCCAAAAGGTCACACAGCTTCACCCCTGCTACTTTGCACCCAAAGAGATGCTGGAAGCACTGGCCACTCTGGAGCCCAAATCGTAGGCAGCATCTCCTTGATACTTTAGAAGCAGACCACATGCATAGAATTCAAAGAACTAAGTTGGGTTTGAGGTTGCACTAATGCATGTAATTGGGTTTTGTTCTCTTCCCAGTTCAGTACCCTCACATCCTCAAACTAATGCAGAATGCTCTAAATCTAGAGCTGTAAGATATTCCACCTCATGTTTGACTACCGGCTTACAACAGAATGCTGGAAAAGCTATTTAGCTCTTCTTGGGTCTATCTGTAAAATGGGAACACACTGCACCCCTTAACCTGCCTCATCAATGTAATATTAAGGTTTTACGGTCCTCTTTCAAAGCAGAGCAAACTCTCTCCTGACTGGTTCAGCAAAGTGCCCAGGACTGAAGTGATGGGCTTCATGAGTGACATTCCCCAACTCTGTACATGTCTGAACTTCACAGCTTAGAGCAGTTTGACTTGCAGTATCTCATTTGATCCTCACAATCATGCGTTTCAAAGATGAGGACTATGAAGGGTCAGTTAGCTTGCTCCGTTACACAGAAAAAGGACCAACCCAGGTCTTCTGAGTAACACCCCATCAGAGATAGAGACTGGGAGAAAGGGGGTGTGGAAATTTTAAGGTCTTTTCCAAATAAGAGCAATAGTTAAAAAGACTCCCACGCATGAGTGTAGGCTAGTGGTTCTCAACCTTTGCTATATACCAGAATTATCTAGAAAACTTCTGAAAAACAATGATGCTTTTGAACACATGATTTATATATACATAGGACACACAAATGGCCCAGAAGCAGTGACCCTCCAGCAGCAATAAGCACAGCCAGCACCCACGCTGTGGTTTCTAATCACTACTTCCCACACTGAAAGGAACCAGAACCCCTTGGAGATTCCGGTTTGGCGCACATCTGAGGCATCTTGCTGTTGCCAAGGGCATGCTCAAAGTCAAATGGGACCACACCAAAAGGACAAAAGAGCGAGCTTGAAGGGACTCCAGGCCAAAAGTGGGGATAATTTGATCAAAAGTATGACAACAGTAATTACGGGTTATATATAATTCACTGAAAAAAAAAAAGAATCCATTGAAATCTCTAAAGAATAAAAACAATAGCACTTAAGAGAAAAATGCAGTGCAACAGATAAAAAAATGAGTTTAAAAATCCATTATTTTGCAATCCCCAACATGCAGTAAGGCAAAGATCATGGATTCCAAAACACCTGTGAATGTTTTTTTGAAACCAGATAATCACAAGGCATCACCCCACAGATTACAAAAGGAAAACATACACAGGTGTGCCACTGCAGAGATCTGGCAATCACCACCTTAATCAAATGATCAAGCTCACCATCAACAGCGGGTCACCCTGACACTGGGCCTCCCAAGGTCATGCAGTAAGTACGTATCATTTTTGTTGGACTCTTGTCAAAAATGTTTAAGATTCATTCCTCAGGAATTTAATCATGAGGAAATAATCATGAGGACATGTATGCAAGACAAATACCTCTTCAATATGAATGTCATTAAAAAAATGTAGGGGATCTGCTGTAAAATAAGACTTAAGAGAAATAATTAAATGCAATACGTGAACCTTCACTTGACCCTGGATCAAACTTTAAAAGTTCCAAGATTTTAGAAGTTGGGAGAAATGTTATCAACTATACATAAGATTAGGGAATTGTTAATGTGATGAAGTCACTGTAGTTACACAAGTGAATGTCCTTATTAAGAGATACATAAATGATTAAAAGGTAAAAGGTCACTCTGTGACTCACTTTCAAGTGTTTTATATAAAATCAACATGTATTTAGAGAGCACGAGAATTGGAGCAGAATGTTTGCAGTCAGTGAATCCAGTTAAAGGGTCTAGGGGCGCCATCAACACTTTCAACTTTTTTATGGGCTTGAATTTTTTATTTAAAATAGAATAAATAACAGAGATCCATTGGTCATAATTTAAATTGAGTTAGCAAAAAAAAAAATAAACTGAGTTAGCATCCTCAGATTGGGACTCGGGAATCTTAGTTTTCGAAAGCTTATCTGGGTGACTCACACATATGACCAGAGAAGATAATCACTGGTCCAAGTCTTATTTCTGCTACTTCGTCTGTACTGACAGCGAAGTGAAGGGAAGAAATGCTAATTCTCTCAAATAGAATCAGTTCAGTTGGTGGCCCAAGAGCCATTTCCCTGATGGTTCCACAAGCCAAGTCAGTTATCTCAGACACAGTCTGAATGACCTCTTAAGACTGGATTTCCTGTTGAGGAAGGAAGGTACTAGTCCTTCCTCAGGGGGCCCTGACTGCTGTAAGAAACCAATGCACCTGACCTCTTCAGCAACATAAGCTCCAGGGCACTGAAGCTGCTAGAAGGATAGGATCAGGAAGCAAGCCGAGAAACCGTTCAGGGGAAATCTACCAGCAGAAAAACCCAATGTTTCGCCAGGAATTCAATTTAGCCCTGAGCACAGAGGCTTCACCTGGGAGGCGTAAGGGTGGCAAATGACTTACTAAGATTCAGGGACTGTCTCTTACACACTCGAGTCTGCAGTCATCACCCTTGGCTCTGCCACAGATGGTTATATGCCACGAACAAAGCGGTTTGCTCGGTATCTATTCTAAAAACTGGTGAGTTTAACCCAACCAGACTGACTATGTCGGACAACTTGAACGACTGACAAGAAATTTTACACTAAAGACCAGAAAAGGTTAGGTCTCCATACAGTTATTGTGAATTATTTTATTGAAGAGGAAAAAACTGCTTTCACTAGAAAAGCTATCATATCCTTCTACATGATTATACTGCTCAGAAGGGAGATCACATTGGGAGGCATACGAGCTGTAAAGGGCAGGAAATTAATGCAAACGTGGAAGACACAGCTCTTCCCAGGAGTAGGGAGATGCCTGCAGTCAGGGTTCCCGGGCACCTGGTGGGCAGGGAAGAGCCGGGAGAGATCCACCCCGGACACAGTCAGAGACTTGCCCACAGCCACCAAAATGCTGCCTGCCCCACACGCTCCGCTCAGCTCTTTGGTAATGGAAGCCTGCCTCTCAGCCAGCCCACAAGCAGGCAGCCAGAACACTCCCCTGAAAACCTAGTCTGGCGTCCTGAGCCTCCCGCCCTTTGGCAGCAAAGGTTGTAAGGTCTCAAGGCTGGAACTGCTGTGGGCTACCCGAAGCCCGCCACAGAGGGCGGTGCTCACCAACACACCAGCAGTCACGCCACCGGCGACTCCCACGCCCACAGCTACGGTCACCTTCTTCCTCCACGGTGGGTGCTGCAGCCTGGAATAGTTGTCCAGACTCACTTCCAGGCCCTCGTCTACCAACTTCTGATCCTCAGTAAGGGACTGATGGAAATTCAGGTTCACCAAATGAGGAGGAAGGACCCTCAGCCCAAAATAGAGCCTCTTGACAAGTCTCAAGTTTTTTAACAGCTGCACATCACACCGATAGGTCCCAGAGTCATACTCTTGAATGGACTGAAACTTTATAAAGTAGGAACTGGCTCGGAAGGGTTTGAAGACTTCATCATCAGTTGAGATGATTCCCCGAGCAAGTCTCCAGGTGAATCGGAAAGCTTCCTGCCCGATCTCCAGGATGTCTGGACTCAGACAGCTCAGCTTAAACTCCTTCCCTATGAGAACGGTGAAATGGAGCATTCCGCAGAGCCAGCTGGTCAGACATTCCAGGCGCTGAGATTTACACTTCCTTCTCACTCCATCAGGGCCCACCTCACAGACAGTCTCTTCCTTAAAGCCAAGGCCACAGGTGACAGTACAGGTTGTGGCATTGACGACAACTTTCCCCACAGCTTCTTGCAGTTTCTCAGGGATGGCCAGTGTTTTAGGTAAAGTCACCACCAAAGGTAGACAGAAGGCCAACACCAGGCTCCCAAGGATGAAACTAGTGGCCGAAGTCTTCATGTCTTAGCAGGTACTTCACTACCCTCAGCCAACACCTGAGGTGTTCCAGCTAAATCCACCACCACATCACAACTCAATTCCTTTGACATAAGACAGCTTTCAAAGTCAAAAGATATGATGCATGCATTGTCAATAAAAACTTACAATTAAAGTCCAGTCCTTACTAACAGGTGAGGCCACAGGCAGAGAAGTCACAGCACTGCTGCTTTACTATCTGTTTGCTAACGACTACCTTCCCAAAGTCTTCACTCTTTTCATATCTTTTTAATGAATTTAAATCCACCTCTTGGGAAGACAGATAAAAAGGCTTCAGAAGCTGAATTTCCAAATAACCTCAATGCCCACTGAGGCTATACTGTTCCTCACCCTTTCCAAATTATGGGATCGGAATTTCAAAATCCCTGTTAAATCTGACCAAATAAGAAATCAAATACTGACTCTAAAAAAGAGAGGATTAATTTGAATTAAGCCATCATCACCTTTAAATGCTCCTAAACCTATTAAAAGGATTAAGGACTCTGGACTAAGAGGCAAGTGACTTCCTCTTCCTGAATTTGTTTCCTCCTTTGTAAATTAAGAACTTCTTGCCTATTTCAGGAAGGTCACTTTGAACATCAAATGATAAACTGCACATGAAAACACTTTGTAAAGTGTGAAACACTCTTCATGTGTAAGGAATGTTAAAGAGAAATGAAAATTCATGAAGGCAAGGGCCACGAGGTCTTCTAGAATCAATGCGTAGCAAGACAGGCAATATTAAATGCAGTTTCTCACTTGCAGGCACTCTTCCTTCCCAAGGGTACCAGAAGATACATTCTGGGGGAGAAGATCCCTAAATCCCCCTGCCTCTCAGTCTAGTCCATCCACCCCACAAAAGAGGGAAGGAGCTCATAATTCACTTGGGTCAAGGTTGCTAGGAAACAGCTGTGATGTCAAAAAGATTCTCAGTCACATAACAGGGAAGATTCGTAAGTAGACACTCAGATTTAGAGATGATTAAAATTAAAGACTTACATATTCTTATTCTTTAGGAGACAGTAAGTAGTCTGTGGATTTCAAAGCTGTTTAATTTAGGCAGAAAAGGTGCTAATGAAGAGGAATTTATCTGCAGTTACTTTAAGAAAGATCCCTGGAAGGCAGGAGGTTCCTTACAAGCGTTTTTTGTAAGCTCTGGAATGTCTCCTAGCACTATAGCCTCTGTAGTCACACACTTCCTGCGCAAAAGAATCTGAAGAGAGGTCACTCCTAAATAATCTAACACTAATGTACTTTGCTTATTTAATATAATATTGTCCAGAGGCAGATTATCTAGACTACCAGGCCGCCTCTCAGCCCTTCCAGTTCTGTATTTCCATATAGAGATCTATTAATAACATCAACCAAGTAAGCTGTATTTTCTGTTGCACAGAGTGAAGAGGCTGGTGACTTTCAGAAGTGATCAGTTATCTACAAGCAAACACCTACACCTGTTCTTTAATAAACATCCGATTTTATTTACAAAGCATTAAAGCTTCAGCAAGAAGTACCCGAGGCTAAGTCTCCTCTCATACAAAACTACAGGACATTACAAAACGCTGAGGGGATGGGAGGTGACAGAAGGGAAAAAAGAATATGCATATATTGTACAAATCTAGAGAATCAAACTGAAACGGACACAAGGTTTCAGGAGCCGAAAACAATTCCAAAAGCATAAATAATTACTAGGAGCTGCTACCAGACGCTCTGGCAGGGCTGACGATTTTTCTTAGGAGCCAGTTTAGGAGGCGGACAGAGCCTGAACATCCAAATGCTCAGGCAGAGGACACCCAGCTACTTTGCAGAAATAAGGCAGAGGCCACCTGTATCACAGTTTGCATACTGCTGCAGTGTACAGTATAGTGAGAAACAAAATGGAAATAATGTCTGCAAAACAAAAACATGCCTAGTGACCCACCTACCAATCTCAACCACTGGTCTGATATGAAATAGGAAATGAAATTCACAAAAGGAGCATCTGAGGAAAAGCCAGTGGCATCTAAAAATATAGACATTTGGCCACTGGTTCAGGGAGAGCTCTTCAACTACTGAACATTTTGGTTCTAGAGACGGAATGGAAGAGGCTCTTGCTGATGTGTTCTACTCTGACTGTTATGCTAAAATCCAAAAAGCAATCAACTTGTTTGGCTACCTACTGAAGCAACCACCAACCAACAGATTTCCCAATAAGCAGTGTTTAACTCTCCTTTGAAAATACCATGAAAATGATGATCCAGATTGAGCACTTCCAGTCAGCTCAAAGCTCTACTCAGAGGACCTGGATAACCTTCTCCACACCTGGTTTCTTCACTCTGGGTTTTCAGAGAATTTCAAACACCTGGTGGACACATCCATCCAATTTGCTACTTTTTATACAAAGAACAGCAGAAGGAAAAATTAAAAAAATTTTAAAAGCTAAGCAACCTTTCACAGAAAGGAAGTGACTGGAAACATGAAGGAAGGATAAGGAGCATGGATATGAGGAGGGGAAACATAATGACTAATGGGAAGGACAGATGTGGACAAGCACTGATTAAAAAAAAAGTTCCTTGATTTTTTATTTGTGTTGTTGCTGCTTTGATTATGACGGTTTTATTCTAGTCCTTGCATAGATTCCCCCACCCCAGTATAAAATAAGCTTGTTGAGAGACACCCCGGCTTGTTTTTGTCTCTGGAAACCAGTATAGGTAAAGCAATATAAACTACTACTGATTCTTTGCTGGACACAAATGAAACTAGCTATCTTCATAAACCATGATTGAATGAACTGCAGAGAAACATGCAATAAAAAGAAAACCAAGAAAAACCCTGACCCTCTCACAGCCCAGCTTCTTGAGAAAAATGTTACAGGATGTTAAAAAGAGGGGTCCTTTCTTATCTCTCTCAGAAAATCTGAAATCTTTCAAGCACCTTCTTTTCTGCCCATCCTTTGTAACAGAATATGGAAATATAGGAGGTATCTGCTGAGTAGGTAATTTTAAAAATGGAAGAGAGAATGTGCAAACAGAAGTTTTTTTTCTAGGATACAGGCAGCAAAATTTCAGGTAAAAATAAGTCACTCAAGGACATGCGCTGAGGAGCGAAGGCAAGCAGGAGAGAGGGCGTGAGAAGCCGCGACGACGCCAGGCACAGGGCAGACAGACGAGCAGACCGGCAGCCGCCTCCAGCAACAGAACGGGCACTCAGACTTCAGGAGCCAAACTCCCGCGCGATGTCTTCACAAATCCTCATTCCTGAGAGTCTATTTGGACGTAGGCTTGAAAGGGAAGGGACATATACTCTTCTTCCATAATTCACTTCTTCATTCAAACATAAAATTCACTCCTTCCACCTCCTGGGCAGAAGACACAGGCCTTTGTTTTAAATTAAAGTCAATCTCAGATGACTGACCACAGTGTCCAGAGGCCACATGATGGCAAAGTAGGGAAGAATGAAGAACTTCAAGGGTCTTCATAACAGTTCTGAGATTGCTCCTCCTGCTAAAGAGATTAGAAATAAAAAGATTTCTTTAGTATCAACTTAGACCAGTTACTTTCAAGAACAGAAATACTGATGGATGCTAGAAGATGCATTCCAAACAAACATGAGCTAAGAACTCCCCACCCCTCCACTTTAAGTTAAAACCAACTCCAACTCCCAATTACCCTTTACTGAAGCAACAAATAATTCAAATCCCAAACCGCGCCCCCAGGACTTTTCTCAGCGTTGCCCCCAGAGGGAGAAAAAAGGGCAAAATGATCAGACTTCTACACATTTCAAGCTGCTAACCATTCTCCAAGGTGTTAATAATGCTTCATATTTCAAAAAGAGAAGTAAGCAAAGGAAAGTAAATTCTAGGGTACTGCATCTTTCAATCTTTCATACATTAGACTAATTCACCAGTAAATGAATAACGATGAGCAAAACATCCTTTTTCAAATAAGTGACACTCTCAGCTCCTCAGAATGCAGAATATGGTGAAATGTTCATGAAAACCACTGCTGGCATTTCTGTGCACCAACAACTGATCAATAAATAAAACCCTAAATAGTGAAATGAACACTTCCCTGGTCACTCCACAGAAGCTGTTCAATCTCTGAAGGACATCCTTAAATGGGCTGCTGTGAAATATTAACTAAGAAGTGGAAAAAGAGAACAAGGTGAAGAAAGTCCTCCCAGTGTCATCTGGAATGCAGAACATGCTACTTGAAGGGAAAATTGTTTAAAATAATTGCCCAAGCTATTAAAAAAATAAAAATAAAGAAAGAGTACCCACTTATAATTTGCTTTTAACCTGATTTTTAAAGTGCAAGCACATATGAAAACTGACAGTAAAAATAAATTCCACTTTGCCTGAGAACAGACTAAACCTCTCCTGGGTGCCGCGTGTTAAAAATATCTCCAGGCAGGAATACCGGAGTGGGCCGCCATTTCCCTCTCCAAGGGACCTTTCCTCATCTGGGATCGAACCCATGTCTTCTGCACTGGCAAGCTGATTGTTATCATTGAGCCACCTGGGAAGCCCCAGAAGTATATTTAAGCTTTTCAGATCTTTCAACATAAAATGTAATGATTAACCTCTTGATTTTTTAAATAATCTGAAATAAAAGAATCTACTCCACAGGACTTTAAATACCTTAAGGTTAGCTTTCCTGATCATTCCCACAGGTACTCTGACCAATCTAATTTTAAGTTTAAAAACAAGACACAACATTGACATTTTAAGCCTAAATCATGAGAGGAAAAAGTGGTGTGTATTTTATAATGGGCACTCAAGATGATCAATAAGCTACATTATACTGCTTATCTGAGGTCAGTTAATATTTTTTCTCATTGCCCTCTTTCCTGTGAACAGACCAAAAACAAAGCTTGTTGAGGCATCAGGCAACAAACGTAGAGCAGCACATCTATGAGGAAGGTAAGACACACAGAACAGCAAAAAAGCAGACCTCCAGGTGAATTAAAATTTGCCCCAAGTGTTATTTAGCTGCAACATAACAGAAATCTTGAGCGATAAAAAAATTAACAAAAATTCAGCTCATAGTGAACAGCTGCTATTGGTACCTCCCCAAAGCAGCCAGGCCAGGGTAGCCTAGAAAACATTGGATATTAATTTTCAAGCATTACCGTAGTCAGATAATAAGACCACACAGAAAGAATACCCAACTAGCCATCTAAAAATCTGATCCTAGCAGGAATTCATAGATTAGTCTTTGAGAGACTGATCAAGTTTATAAAGGAAAAGGGCTGGGGGAAAGCCCCTCCCAACCATTTAAAAGCATCAGACTCACTAAATGACCAGGATATGGTTCAGAGACCCAGGCTGTGGGGCCAGAACCAGGAGCCGGCGGTGCACCACAGGCAGGGGAACCTGAGGGGGCCTGGGGGCCTCAGAGGTGACCCTCCCTCTGCCGCCCTCGAGAGCAAGCACCATCCCACGCCCTTCAGGCCCGCCGTCCCACAAGGCCTTCAGACCCCGTGCATGACAGACCACAGCTCTGTCACCATCACTGCTGACGGTGCTCACTGCCAAGGAGCCCGGCTTCTTGGGCAGCCCGAGTGGTCACGGGGCAACAGGGGCTCTGGTGGTTCTGCTCACATCTCAACTTTCGATCCTGAAGACTGTCCGCTGGAGAGTGTACGGTAGCTAGGAGGAAATCTGACAGATGGAGCAATGTTGGTACAGACTTTCCGTGAGTCCCCAGTTCAGGGTTTCCCTCAAGCTTCACTGACGGGCCCTACCACAGAAGGTGTGTTGTCATGGAGCGGGTCCACTGGTCCTATCCAACACTGATGAGCTGTTTGACAGGGAAGAATTTTCGAGCCCTAGATTCCAGATGGCTAGTTACTTATACTGGCACTCTACTAGTCTTCCAAGTGTCCCCTGAAATGCATAATCTCCTGTTACAACATGCAACAGACTACAGCAGCTTTGTCAGGACTAATCAGGGCTCACTGGACGGTTTCTTCAGTTAACTGATCAATCATACATAGTAACAAACAGCTGGCATTTATCCAACATGAGCGGTAGCCTACACTTATAATCCTGCCTTCAAACAATTTGGCTCTAATGCAAAACTAGGGCATTTGTGGGGAAGGAAAGTCCACAAAGCACTGAATATGCAAATACTGTACACCCATCAGACTGAACTGATCTTTGAGGATGGTTCCGCCTCAGCCACTGAGGATCAGGATTCGTTTCTTAATATCCGGTAGAAAATCCACAATGACAGCATGCTGTTTCTTCAGTGAAAACCTCCAAGGTGTGGAAGAATGTGAGACGTGAGTTTTTATTACCTCAAAGGCCCTGAGGAGCCCGGCGAAAATCAACAGCATGTGTCAGCCAGCCTCTGGGCCCTCCAAAATGGTACTGGATGAAGCCCCACCCAACGAAATCCACACAAAAGATACAACAGGTTGTCTTGAAACTGAGACCTCTGATGGCCCACTACGATACTCAATGTCAGCACTCTCCCCCAGAGTCACTGTTTTCACAAAGATCCACACGGCAGCTAGTGGCTAAGGCCCTCTAAGGAAGGGCTGGCACTAAACCACAACACCCCTTTGAGGCTTTTTAATGATCCTGTTCCTCAGCATACTCTGGGATTTTATCTGGCCATTTCGGAGATTTCGATATAGGGAAAAGCCAAGGAACCAAGGCAAGACAAGATGGGAAGAAGGAAGTATAGATTATTCAAGCAAGTATGCAATGTGCACAATCATGTTGTTCTTCAGTTGCTCAGTCCTGTCTGACTCTTTACAACCCCACGGACTGCAGCACGCCAGGCATTCCTTGTTCTTTACTATCTCCCAGAGTTTGCTCTTGTCCACTGAGTCGATGATGCCACCCAACCATCGCATCCTGTCGTCCCCTTTTTCTCTTGCCCTCAACTGTTCCCAGCATCAGGATCTTTTCCAATCAGTCGGCTCTTCATACCAGGTGGCAAAAGTATTGGAGCTTCAGCATCAGTCCTTCCAATGAATATTCAGGACTGATTTCCTTTAGCATTGACTGGTTTGATCTCCTTGCAGTCCAAGGGACTCTCAAGAGTCTTCTCCAGCACCAGAGTTTGAAAGCATCAATTCTTTGGCATTCAGCCTTCTTTATGGTTCAAATCTGTATGTGACTACTGGAAAAACCATAGCTTTGACTACATAAGACTTTTGTCTGCAAAGTGATGTCTCTGCTTTTTAATATACTGCCTAGGGTTGTCACAGTTTTTCTTCCAAGGAGCAAGAGTCTTTTAATTTCATGGTTGCATTCACTGTCTGCAGTGATTTTGGAGCCCAAGAAAATAAAGTCTGTCACTGTTTCCATTGTTTCCCCATCTGTTTGCCATGAAGTGATAGGATCAGATGCCATGATCTTAGTTTTTTGAAAGCTGAGTTTTAAAAGCCAGTTTTTTCACTCTCAAGTGCCCACCAGAGCAAGACCCAGTTTTCCCCACAGTCAGTCCCTCCCATCAGGAATCCTGCACAAGTCTCTTATCCTCATTCATTAGAGGGCAGACAGAAAAAATAAGAACTTTAATACCATGGCCCACAGAATGAAAACCACCACAGAATGAATAACCAAAATGATCACATGGACCACAGCCTTGTGTAACTCAGTAAAGCTACGAGCCACCCAAGACGGATGGGTCAGGGTGGAGAGTTCTGACAAAACCTGGTCCACTGGAGAAGGGAATGGCAAACCACTTCAGCATTCTTTCCTTGAGAACCCCAAACAGTATGATCGTGAGAAGTTGGTAAAATGTTTGCAGTAATCTAGGCAGTTCTTTTGTCTGTGTTATAAGAAAGCACGTCCTCACTCTGGCCTTGTTATGGACAAGTCTCCCCTAGTCCTTTTAAAGGATGAAGTCATTAAAATAGCTGCCTCTATTTAAGGCTGACCAATTGAAGTGCCTAATAACAATAATATAGAAAATAAAAATCCAGTCTGAAACACCCTGCTATTTCAAGACACAAGTTTTAGCCTTTAACGAGGTTTTAACCCTCTTTTAACCTTGTCAGCTGAATGGGAATAAACTCCTACCAGGCCCTTGATAATGATAACCACTCTTGCTAGAAGGAGCTCTGAAATGCTGACATGTGCAAACACTAAGTATTTTACACCTGCCTCAAAATTTCAATGCGGTATTTTTAGTATTCAATGAAGTATTTTAGCCTTTAGGGCTAAATAAACTTTGCAACATTCTGATTTTCAGTGTTTAGATATTTTTGAAGCATAGCTGAAAAACACCACTGCTCTTATACGCTGAGCTATAAAACATAGAGTACTTCATGGGACCTTTGACAAAAGCCCAAGTTGGAAAATGCCAAAAATATTTAGTTACTATTAATGACCATAAGAAAAATCTGATTTTTAAAAACTTTAAATAGTTTATTTATCATATACTTAGTACTAAAGAGCAAATGGTTAATTACATACAGATTCTGAAGATGCTGGGAAACTATGTCAGAGTATTTCAATTAATTCAACATGTTTGCCAACATTTTAAATCCTCCTGAAGCAATTTAGCTTTTGGGGCCAGAGAAATTGATTTAAACTTTCAATAGTTTCTTCTGTAGTAGCATCAGCTTATGCAAAAAATGGGTTATGGAAGGATCATTTTTATTTACATTAGTCAATTACTGACCTGCAATCTTTGTTAGCAATACCCATATAACTTGTTCTCGTCTATTGTTTAAAATATATAAGCATGGCCCCAAATGAACTGAATGTGGAGGTGATAAATCAGTGGAGTACCATAAATACTGCTGTTGGGGGAAAAATGCTAGTGCCCTAGTGGGACGGTGTAGGACTGTGAAAATCTAGTGAATTTGAGGGGAGATACTCAAAATGATGAGTCACTGAGTCTGTTTCAGCTTCTCTGTAGAAGAGAATTCATGTTCACAATGATAAACTGGCTTAAAGAATTCTGGTTTGCATTCTAGTACATATCATCACATTTGGATTAACACAATTAAAATTTTTAATATGGTGGGAAAATCCCCTAAAATATAACCACTGATATATTGTTAGTCCTGCCTCTGAATTAACAGACCTAGCCACAGAAAACTGAGAATACTGTGTCAACTAAAGCAATGCCTAAAAAAAAAAAAAAAGTTTCCAAAACCTAACAATGTTTGAGTAGAATTAAATCCTAAGTTGATTACTGTTTTCCAAACAAAATACCCTTTAGCCTAGATTCACAAGTATTTGATCGGAAACTGAAACTGTTCTCCATCCTCCAATAACAATCCCTCAAACCTATGAAAGTGAGAAAACTCAGTAAGTATCAAGAAGCTTAGGTATTAAGAAGCTAGAAGTTTGTCTTTTGGATAATCTGGTTTTTTGTTTTTTTTTTAAACCTCATCTTCTTCCTTAACATGAGAGTACTACTAACAACTCCATCACTGTTTCTAGAATACTGAGAGAGAGAAAAACACCACCTCTGGAATTTGAATAATTTGAAGAGAGAGAAAAAAGATGATACAGTTAAACAGTCAGGGACTATATAAAGCAGCTCATTTTTCTGGTTATCTGCCTGGATCTTTCACTTGAGACAAAACAAAACAAAAAACTTAGGAGCAAACATAGATGAAAATATTAATTAAACCAGGGGTTCCTACCCTTTTTGGGGTCATGGATTCCTAAAGGAATCCTGTGAAATGTACAAGCATCTCCACCACAAAAATATTCACACAATATTTTGCACATAAGATCAAGGGAATGGACAGCCCCTGAAATATAGCTGCAGACCCAAGGTTAAGAACCACTAAATTAAGCCAAATCTGATTTAGCCTGCCCTTGGCAGCAGCTTAAAACTCAAAGATCTTCTGCCTCTGGGGAAAAGGAGGGAAGATGTCTGGGAAGTAGTTAGGCACAGCACGACTTTGGGATATAAGAGAGAGCTAGACCAGGCATCAACATTTAGAAATTATTCAAGTGTAGCAGGTAGTTAATGCTGTTAAAAAGAATTTTTGACAGGGAGAAAGAAAATCAAGGGAATGCAGATGCCTGAAACCTAGTTATGGACCCAAGGTTAACAGCCACTGAATGAAGCCAAATCTGGTTGAGCTGCCCTTGGCAGCAGCTTAAAACTCAGAATTATCTGCCACTGGGGAAAAGGAGGGAAGGAAGGAAAAAATGTTGCAGTTAAACGGAGTCAGGGGCTGTACAAAGCAAGGCCACGAAGAAAGCCAGACAGTGCTCCCAATGTGTCCTTACCTGTCAAGGGCTGGCTGAGCTCCGCCTGCACTTTACCCTTCGCTGATCCTTCCAGAGGTAAACCTCTGTCCCCTTTGTAGAGTTTCGGTTTAAATGGAGAATCTTTCTCTTTACCTTTTGATCCTTTAGGCCGGCCTGCTTGCTTCTTCTTGGATTTGCCATCCCCCTTCACACCCAGTAGTGGATGGACTTCTGTAAAAGGACAGATAGACATGGAAAGGAACCCACATGTCACTCCAACCCAGCACGTGTGCTGCCTACCCACAAGCAAAGAGTTTTGCTCCTGTGTCCCAAGTCCACTAATACAAGAAGAAAAGTTTGTTTTGTTTATCAATTATAATACTACAAAAGAGCAGCCATTACATGAGAAACAGTTGCTTGGCCAGAAGGCACACATAGCCTATGTGGTTCACACCAAGCTACAGCAGCTCTGAACAGAAAAGGGAGATCAAAGGCCCACTGACACTTTGTCACACAGTCAACAGGAATGCACATGTTCACACTGGCACATGAAAGCAGAAAGTGAATGGGCTTTGGAACTCAGTAGACCAGGGTAAGAATCCAGACTCTACCATGTGATTAAAAAGGCTTCTAGAATTAAGACTGTCCAGGTCTGACCAGTATTGATACTTTACCACCTAATGAGAATTTGGGAGGAGAGGCAGAGGAAGACTGATATTTAAACAAACTGATCCAGATGTCAGACGACTTAAAGCCTGTTATCTTAGGAAAAGTACTGAGGGCAGAATCTCCCCATTTTAAAAGAGAAGTGAAAGCAAATAAAATTGTTACAAAGTTGTAAAACACTACAAACAAGACTCAGGGAAAAATTCCTTTAAGGGAATATCACCCAGAAAGGAAATTTACCAGGCTGTGCTGGAGAGGAGGTCAATCAGGTGGGAAAGAGGAAATGCGGCCCTTACCATCATTTGGTACTCCTTGCAGTTCAATATTGGTGGTTTTGGGTTTCTTCTTAGGTGGCTGGGACCCATCTGCTGAAGACTGCCTCTTCTTCTCTGAACTAGCCCCTTCGTCCATCAAGGAGGTTTGGACTGCATCCGGTGGGGGGCCATAAGGATTTTCTTCTGGGTCTTCTACCTCAGGGGCAATGGGTAAATATAATAGAGCCTTTGAATCTTCCAGTTCTTCATCACTATTTGGAACAGGATCAGAAAAGGGATAGGAAAAAAGAGGAGAAAGTTGCTTAAACCATGAACCCTTCCTCTAGGGCAAAATCATCTAACCATAAGCAACAGGTACGGACCTAAAATTTCATGAAAGCCAAGATGGATAAAAGAAAATCAAACAATATGATTCAATCAGTAGTAAAAATAAATGGCATAAAATTAATTACTTCACTTCCTTAAGATCTTCTATCAAGGGAGAACGGAAGGGACTTCTTGCACATCAAAGGCGTTAACTCTGAGCCTAAAGGCAGACGGGACTGAAGGACAGTGGGGGCTGAGCAGCACAACCAGAGACTGAGGAGCAGGCGCACCCTGAGGCCTGGCCTCCACGGCGGCTCACCTGCTGCAGAAAGCTGCGATGGGGTCCACACTGGTGACATCCACTTCCTCGTCCTCCGCAGCGTCAGCCCCTGCAGGGCAGAAGCACAGTAGAGCTGTGAGAAGCAGAAAACTGTTTTTTACATGCCGCTTACGATTTTCATAAACTGAAATCCAGGAGAAACAAAGGAGGAAAATCAGGCATTTAAGTTAGTTGTTTAGCAAATATGTGCTGAACTTCCACCATATGCTAAACACTGGGAATACAGCACTGCCCCCAGAAAGTTGGGAACAGTTTTTTTGTAAAAGCCCCAGAAATCTAACTGGGGAGACAGACAGAAATGGATAATTTCGGTTCCACAAAGTGAGTGCTACAATAAAGGCATGTGCAATGTGCCCAGGAGATGGGAGTAAGAAACAACTTATGCAGAAGTCTGGGAAGCTTTCCATGCAACACAATCCAATCACACCAATACAACCCAAAATATCCCATGGTCCTGACAGTCTTCCTAAGACACCTGAGGCATACACGTTATCTAATGTCACTGAAGTGAGGACCAGCACCTTCAGGCTGGAGAGAAATAACCTCAATCCCAATTCCTTGATTCCTGGCACCATCAAGAAGCCCAGCAGTCAGTGACAGTGTCAAAGGGGCACATCACGCCTTCATACACACAAACCCCCGCCAGATGCAAAGCCCTGTGCTTATACACTAGGGGACTCTAAAGTGAAATATTTATTCTCAAGGTGTTTCCTATTTAGAAGTTCAGAAGCCAAGAGATGAAAATAACAATGATCACGATCTATTAGAAGAGAATATCTGAATGCTCATTACGACCTAGACACTATTGTGAGCCCTCTACCCCACAACCCTAAAAGGCACAGTTTTTACAGATAAGGAAGTTCAGATTTAAAGAATAAGTATTCTGTCTAAGGCAGTCTGACTCGAGTCCATGCTCTTTACCTTCGTGTTACTGACAAAGAAATGAGATACCCAACAGCAGTTCAGCACCTAGCACGTATGGGTGGCTTCGCGAGGTGCTGTAAGCAAATCCTCATTTAATCGTCATCAGTCAGGAAATACAAAGCGAAATGTTAAGAGAGCTGCTCAAGCCCTAGTAATGCCCATATAAGCTCTGAGTCAATGCCTTACAAATAAGGATTCTAAAAGCACTATTAAAAGTGCAAGCTTAAAAAAAAATTAGACCAAGTGCTGAAATGAATTTTCAGCACAAATTAAGATTGAGTACTGAGTTAAAACAATCATTTTTCCTTTTGGAAATACTATCTGCAATTGGGAAATATTACCTGTCTGTTCAGGCTCACTCTTATCTTCATCTTCAATATCAAACTCTGATTCCCTTTCTTCATATTCTACATTTTCATCCAATTCTTTGAAGTCTGGCGCAAATGCACTCCAGTTTTCCTATGCCACAAACAAAATATACTACTTAACCATATGAGAAAGCAACAGTCTGTAATCTAGACATTAATGACATAATTGAAAGGCTTGGGCATGAGAGACTCAAAATTCTGAGATCAAATTTGGCAGGTAATAAAAATTAAGTATCTATAGGTTTTACTATTTTAAGGCATTTCCTATCTTAAACATGCCATATTATTAACTGTAGTTCTTTCATGAACAACTGTCTTCTTTAAAACATTTTTAAGGATTTTAAAAATGATTTTACTTCTTTATTTGGCTCTACTGGATCCTCACTGCTGCACATAGGCTTTCTCTGGTTGTGGCAACTGGGGGCTACTCTTCACTGCTGTGCATGGCCTTCTCAATGTCCTGGCTCCTCCTGATGCGGAGTGCCGGCTCCAGAGCTCAGGCTCAGAGTCGTGGCACAGGGGCTTAGCTGTCCCACAGCATACGGGATCTTCCCAGACCAGGGATCGTACCGGTGGCCCCTGCATTAGCAGGTGGATTCTTAATCACTGGACCACCAAGGACGTTCTTAATCTTTTTAAGATGTAATTCTGAGGTAAAATGTTAAGTTTTCTTATGAGTACACGGATTAAAAATATAATTAAAGTTTTCAAAATAAAACCAGATGCAAAACAGAATCTAACTGAGCTGAACATAGGAAAAGCACAAGAAAGCTCTATCTCAGATAAGCAACAGAAAAATATACCAGGAAGTACCCTAGACTTTCTCCCTGAAAACAGAGCTAGTAAACTGGCTTTGGACCAAGACCCTCCTGTTAAAGCAAAACTAGATGCATGGAGCTATTTAATCAGGTTAGAAAAATCCTGTGGAAAAGAAAGTAAATAAAGTAACTTTTGTCTTACTATTTGCAAGGCTCATTGATATAGAGAGTATCTAGTTTCAAAGCAGTTAAACCAGAAAAATACTTACTACTTGATTTTGTGCCCAGATAGATACGACTCCACTAGAAATGGACGCTATGATGGGTCGAACAGGATGCCACTAAATTTTAATGAAGCAAAGAAAAGTCAGTTCTAAGAATGAAACCAAGGTTCTCTGTGTTACGTAAGCAGCAGCAGCAACCCCTGCCCCTACTTACAGCTACGTCCAGGAGGAGCTCTCCTCTGGTCCCGTGGAGGATCTTCACCAGGTTGCCGATGCTCTTCTCCCAGATGTACAGGGCGTGCTGCCGGGCGGACCCTGCCACTATGTACTCCCCATCCCCAGAGAAACAACACTTCTTCCACGGGGTCCTAAGGACAAAGAAAGCACCCAAGGAGAACCGGAACCTGAGCCCAGGCAATGAGAGAGCACACATTCATCCAGGTTATGACACATACCTATTCACCAAATCCTGCAGTTTCTGCATGGGTTCAGGCTCTCCATCTCTTCCACAGGTTAAGATTTCTCTACCATCATAAACTCTGATGATTCGATCTGCTGTGTTAATTAAAAAGCAACTACAGAAAGGATAAAAATATCAACACACAGGTCAGAAATCTGTTCCTGTTAACATTTTCCATGACTACCAGTTACTAAGAAGACTACCACAAGACAGCTAACAAATAAGGAAGAGAATGAGTGAAAATCTAAATAATGGACTAGACTACTTATTTGGACAAGACTACTTGTCACCTTTCAAGCTAAAATATAACATGAAGTGAGAAAATGCTTTATATCAGTACTTGCTGTGTGACCCTGAACCCTATATGCACCAGTATTTGACTGAAATCCAAAACGTGTATATTGAAACCAGTTTCCCAAATGTACAAGCTTACAGTTAAATATATATAAATACTTCATTTCGCTGGCCTATTTTAGTTATAGCACAATATATTCATCTTAATGAGTTAATGAATATATCATTTGGATTGCCCCATTTTTTAACATTGGAAGTGTTGGAAATCTGTCTAAAATATAACTTTTTTACCACTTTCTTACAGACTTCAATAACTTTTTCTTAATTCAAGAGAAATTGAACATGAATGTCTTCTAAGTGTGTATGGTGATTTCTATACAAACTAAAGTGACTGTCACTTCTCTTACTGACAGCCTATTTTCTTCTTGTTTCTGCTGATATCTACTTCTAATTGGGTAACCAAACTTACTAGAAAAACATCTGAAAGTAAGAGGATAAATAAGTTTCACCAAAGTAAACTGCATATTCAGTTACTATGTGAACTCTGTGGTATCAATTCTGATTACAGTATAATAAACACCTCATCTCTGCCCAGGGCTTACCATATGCCAGGCATTCTGGTCCTATGCACAGACCACTCTTTTCTTTAAAGGAACTGCCTGTGAACCTCCAGGAAGATGTGACTGCTGCCTCAATGCAGTAAATTTTACAAACTTAAGAACCAGGCAGTAACAGTTTCTATAAATATTTTTAAAATAAACTCTTTAAGAAATTTAAGTATAATATACACAAAAATTATGAATCTCAATGTATTTTTGCATTCTACTCACTTTTAAAATTGTCTCTAAAAAGACAGGTCTTACTTACCTCCCCTTCCGGGCAAACTCTATTGACTTAATGGCTGTTGTATTGCTTGTTCCAGTTGTTACTCTGAAGGAAGCAACAAGATCCTGAGAATCGGTTTTTAGGACCAAAATCTAAAGTTTAACAGAGAAAAAAGTAAGTAAATATTCTGATAATTTACAGTAATTAGATATGGCTTGTTTTTAAAACTGGGCAAAGACTTCGTGAAAACCTAAGTATCTCTATTCAACTTGCTTTTACCTCTTCAATTAAAGACAACGTCTTAACCCATCCTTAAAAGATGGTGTTTAACATTATCCACAAGAGAAAGTGGAAGCAACCCAAGTTATCCATCAACAGATAAACAGAATGTGACATATACATACAACGGAATATTATTTGGATTTGAAAAGGAAAGAAATTTTGACGACATATGCTACAACATGAATGAACCTTTAAGGACACTATGCTAAGTGAAATAAGCCCCAGTCACACACACAAAATACCGGATGACTTCCAAATTCATATAAATAGAAAGTAGAATGATGGTTTCCAGGGGCTGAAAGGGAGTAAGGAATAGCAAGTCATTTAATAAGGACAAGGTAAGTTCGAGATGAAAAGAGCTCTGGAGATAAATGATGGTGATGACTGCACAATATCGATGTACTTTATACTACTGAGCTGTACACTTATGAATGGTTAAGACAATAAACTGTAAGTGCATTTTACCCAAAACACTGCCACTCTCTTAAGTAGCCATACTAACCCACATGATCCAGTCAAAAAGAAAAAAAAAAATCAAAATGCAACAGAACTCAAATTCTAAAAAGTTTGAGAAGGATCCTAAAACTTACTTAACCTTTTTTTTTAACCTAACTTTTAGATTAAAGTGGCCTAAATTATACAATATTTTCAGACCAAGATATCAGCCATTTGTTAGCAATATTCCATTAATAATATTTGACTTTTATACTTTAGTAATGGCCCTCTATTACTAGCATCCAGTAAAGGCCCTCCATCCTCTTGTAGATCCATCCTCTCTGACCACTCTCAATCCAAACAATAGAAATTATTAAGGCACGGGAGAACAGGCTGTATTTGCCACAGGCAGGAAGCACACTCAGTCCAGGGATAAAAGAAATTTCAAAGAAAAGAGAACAAGTAAACGTAAAATGAGCCAACACACAGGATGACTGATGCTTACTTATTTCACCAGCTCCTAAGCTTCCAGGCTTACCTTGCCTTTTGCATTTCCTGTATAGATATATTCTCCTCGCCTATCAAAAGATGCAACCACGTTCAAATCGGAGTCATCATCTACAGGCAGAACGACATGTTTGGAATCTGAAAGGGTCAACATGACAGGAGCAGATTTCATGGGACACACGAGAACCTTGTTCCTGTTTAAAAATATGAATAGTACATTGGCAGTTGCTATGGTATCAGAAAGCTGACTCTCTGCCCTTTTCCTCTAATTCCTATCTACTACCCTCATCAACCTATCCAGCCCAAGGGTATTTAAAATAGTTGAAAAAGACTAAACTCTAAATTTCTAATAATAGGGAAACGGCTGAGTAAAGTTATGGGATCCTACCTTGACAAAACAAAATGTAATCATTAAAAATAAATATGAAGATGTAGCAAACTGGTAAAATATGTATGAAAATGAAAAAGCAAACATCAGTTAAACTATGTAAAAATACATATTTGTGTACACCTAAGAGAGACAAATGCTTTGTGAGCTAATAAGTGCTTTGTGAGCTATGAAGTACTATATAATAAGCTTTTAAACCTAACGAGAACTTAACTAAAAGAGAACCTAGAGAAATGAAAATAGTTATATCAAAGTAACTGAATGGTGGGCAACTCTACATAAATATAGTTTTTAAAAATATTTTATTTATTTGGCTGTGCTGGGTCTTAGCTGCTGCATGTGGGATCCAGCTCCCCGAATCCAGGAGCCCTTGCACTGGGAGGGCACAGGACTGGCCACTGGATTTCCAGGGAAGTTCCTTAAATGTAGTTTTCATAATGAACTGTTTCCGGTACTAAGGAAATTCAAATTGGGGGAAAGCCCCAGGTCAAGAACAGTTATTATACTTTTTCTACCTTTGCCCATTTCAAAGTTTTATTTATTATAGGCCAGTTTTAATTGTAAACTACTACAACAGTATCTTTAAAATCTGTTCAGAACCATCCCAGACAGAAAAATTAATTCATGTAGAAGAGGTTTGAAGAGATGTGTGCTTTTGCCTCCTGAAACCTTAAACTGAAATTAGCATGAGCTTAGAGATAATTTAGACAGAATGAGACCCGCCCCATGAAAGAAAAGCTCAGAGAAAACATACTGATCTCGCGGATGATACTGGACTTTTAAGATGGGTGAAGGAAATCGAAACCTCTGGTCGCAGTCGCCTGAAAGGACATCCCACTGGGACACTATGTTGTCAGTGGAAGCGCTCACGAGCTTATGACCATCTCGACTCCAGCTGAGAAGGAAAAAAGGGTAACTTAGAACTTAGCACATATTCTCAGTTAAAAAAACCATATCACCCTCACAGATAAAAATGCATGAGTCACACTTATTGCCCTAACTCTATGGGTCACCAATGTTTCTTCTTCTTCATTTTTTAAACATATACTCAAATCTATAAGCTTTCCTAACATTAAGCAATAAATAAGAATGTTTTCATGACATCTTTGTATCTAGCAATAGAAGCTCTTAACAGTTCAAGATAACAATTCAACTGCTCAGTGAAAAAAGAGACTCAACATTTTAGAAGAGTGTAAAAATCAGCAGGCCCTTAAGTGCTGATTTAACAAAAAAACAGGTTTTCTTCCCCCTGAAGGCAGAAGGAGGAGCAGTTGAATTTTCTGAATCTGGCCCTGCAGTAGCACCATCATAGTATAAACTAAACAATACAGATAGGTATCTGTTATTTAAAAAAATTAAGAAAGAAATTAATTCCTCCTGCTAAGTACAGTTAAACATCCTGGACACTATACAGAAAACTAAAAGGTAAAGAAGAGCCAGACTGGCTAGGTACCGTAGGATCTGCAGAACAACACAGCAGCGAGATCCTTAGATTTTCTTTTTGCCTCACATATCCTGGACCAGGTGATGGAGATGTCAACAACGGAGTGGCGTCAATGGGCACACACAGTGAGTGCACACCCTTCCGTAGAGCCAAAGGACTATCAGCAGACACCACCACAGAGATAACACAGGTATTAGAACCTAACCAACATTTCAATGCAGCCATCATTAAAATGCTTCAGCAAGCAACTACAAACACGCTTGGAACAAATGGGGGAAAAAGAAGTCTCAGCAAAGAAACAGAAGATGACCAAATGGGAATCTCAGAACTGAAAAATATAAAAACTGAAATTAAAAAAAAAAAAAACAAACTCAAAAGATGGGTTCAGCAGCCAGTGGAAAAGAGGAAAGAATCAGTAAACTGTAAGAAAGAATATAAAATCCCCAATCTGAGCAAAATGGAAAAAAATGCAATGGAAAAAGTAAACAGAGCCTCAAGGACCTGTGGGACTATATCAAATATCTAATATCTAATATAACAAGTATCTAATATCCATGGCATCAGAGTTTGGAAGGAGAAAATAAAGAGAGTAAGGCTTAAAAGTATTTGAAGAAATAATGACTGAAATTTTTTCAAACTTGACAAAAGATATAAAACATACAGATTCAAGAAGCTAAGCAAACCTCAAAGAAGATGAATTCAAAGAAATCCACTCCCAGATACAAATTTTTGAAAACTAAAAACAAAAGAAAAAAGATCTTGAAAGCAGCAAGAGGAATGACATCTTACCTATGGGGAACAACAATTCACATGACAGCAAATTTTGCATCAGAAACCATGAAGACCAAAAGGAAGTGACATGTTTTCAAGCGCTGGAAGAAAAGACCTGTCATCGCCAATTCTACATCCAGAGAGTAACTTTCAGAAACAAACAGGTAAATCAAGACCTTTTGTCACCAGCAGACCTACCCTAAGAGAATGGCTGACGGAGGTTCTCTAAGCAGAGAAGAAATCTTAGATCATCAGGAAAGAAGAAATCTTACAACATCAGGAAGAAAGAATAATGAAAAGTGTTTAAAAAATTAAATACACTTTCTCAAGGTCTGATGTTTCAAACAAAAATCCTAACACTGCCTTAGGTAGGTTATCAATATACAGAGAGGAAACATTTAAGACAATTACATTATAAACAAGGGAAGGAAGGGAGGTAAAGGGGAAGTTTCTATGCTTCGCTCCAACTAGCGCAACGTCAGCGCGAGTAGACTGTGATAAGTTATGTATATAAAATGTAATACCTAGCAACCATTAAAAAGCTATACAAGCTAGACAAACTCAAAAATACTACAGATAAGTCAAGGTGAAGTCCTAAAAATAGTTCAGTAACCTACAGAAAGCCAAAAAAAAAAAGAAAACAGAGAAACAAAAAACAGAACAAAGAGAAAAACAAACCCTAAATGAGCCTTTATTCAAATTTTGCAATGAATAGGATTTGCTACTTAGGAACTTACAGGAGGCAACACAGTTCCATGGTTAAAAACACAGGCTCAAGTCAGATTTATGCTCAAGCCTAGACATTATGACCTTCTAGCTGTGTGGTCTTGGGCAAGTTATATAATCTTTCTGAACTTCAACTTTTTCATTTATAACATGGAAATAATAACAGTATCTGCAGATGAGAAAATTAAAATTAATGCACATCAAACTCTTAGTCCGGAACAGTAAGTGCTCAAAAACCATTATTTGTACCAGAGACAAGATAAATGTATTCCCAGACTTGAAACTCGCGGCAGAGAACGGCAGGAGCAAGCTGAGGGAGTGCCTGTGGTGGGACTGAGCTCCAGTCTGCACACAGAGGACTCAGTCGCCTCTCCCACCGCCTCTAGAACACTCCCAGTCAACAAGAGGGTCTTTCTGGGGAAAGTGAGCCTAAAAAGGAAGATGCCTACACACGCTGTAACTTGAGGGCTGATAGCAGAAAGGTCAGTGGTCCACCCAACTTCCGTGGGAGATGAGAGGGTAAGAGGGTGAGCCAAGACTCACATACACTGTAGTCAGAAGTCACAAGTAAGTTCTCTGAATTAAACTAAGAAGAAGTACTATGCATAAGTGCTTTAGAAATATTAAGACAAATACCAAGAGAAACAAACCGGAAGAACGGAAGTGCACTGGGAACAGCAGGAACGAGGGGCAGCTTCCGCAGCACTTCCAAGCACTGCAGGACGCTCTGACTACACAACAGTGTTATCCATGACTCCACTTCCCCTCTAAACCCTCAGCATTGAATGACTTTGTTTTACAGCAGGCCTGTGTTTCCGTTACAATAGAGGGGATTAACAATCCATTGCTCAGCTCCAAATTCCCTAAATTCAAGAACGACAGGATTCTCATACATTCTCACATCTTCTAACAACATTGTTTCTTTCCAAAAGACAGATAGGTCTTGGAGTCTTAAATATCATTTTTTCTACCTATCCAGTGGCCCCCACCCAGTGCTTGAATATCTTCTGCAGCAATTCTAAGAAGAGACAGTCCCACTGGTAAATTCTTCCCTGGGCAGTCCAGCCCATCCATGGGCACTCTGCTTGGGAGCTCTTCTCTATTCTAAGCTAACATTTGTTTCCCCATAAATTCCACTCACTATCTATGAGTCTTGCTGCTTCTCCTTAGGTCAATTTTTCTGTGTTGCATATGTCAGTTCTTTAATAGTTGAAGACAGCTACTATACCTATCCAAAACGCCTCTTGGTGAAATTTTCTTAGTCTTTAACATATTCAAATATTATACAATAATTAATACATAAAGTCATATTCTAAATGAGACTGGATCAAAGAAAAATGCAAAATGTGTGTAGTTACTGACCTTAACTCTCATGTATAAATATATATAACAAAAATCAGGGAACAGTTACAATGCACACGAACCAAGTAATATACATGTCTGCACATACACATATATATTAATACAGAAAAACATCTACTATCTATTAAGTGCAAGAGGAAGCAATAAAACAATGTTTCCATTAAAAAAATACACATTTACTTATGTACATTTTTACATATGTGAGAGATACAGATAGATCTTACAGATAAAAGATACATTTCATACTCTTAATTTGGGCTTCCCTGGTGGCTCAGATGGTAAAGAATCTGCCCGCAATGCGGGAAACCTGGGTTTGACCCCTGGGTTGGGGAGATGCCCTGGAGGAGAGCATGGCAATCCACTCCAGTATTCTTGCCTGGGGATACCTCAAGGAGTAGACAACGGGCTTTCATTTTTTACTCTATATACTCATATATCGTTTGAATGTTTTTAAAGTTTTTAATAAAAAAAAATAAAGTTCTTAATAATCAAGTTTTGTGATAAAAAATCTTAAAACGGGGGACAGATGGAGAAATCTCTCACTGTTCAAGCCTTCTGACCTAGCAGTAATGTACTTCTGAAAGTCTACACTAATGAAAAAACACAGATCAAATGCCTACTGGGCATCTTCACTGAGATACCCCACTCATCCAACAAGTACCTATGTGTCTACCGTATACCAGGTATAGTGCTAGAAGCTGGGAATATAGCAGTAAAATGGCAGATAAGATTCTTGTATCCACATCCCTTACCATATTCCAGGGCAGATACTCATAAAACAACTGTGTGCAATAAAGTACAACAGGAGACACACAACTGTGATTCACTGTATCTCCCTCAAATCTTACATTAACATCATCCAAGCAGGAAACCTAAGGGTCGGTCACCTTAACTTCCCTACTTCACTTAAACCCTGTATCTAATCAAGGCCTTCACCCTCTAATTTCTACCCTCTCTCACACCTGTCCCATTCAGCTGCATTCCTACTGCAGCCATCCTCATCCTCTCTAACCGAGACCACTGCACTCCTGTTTTCATTTGCCACCCTCTTTCCCACATGCTGCTCGAGATCCTTCTAAAATGAGAAGCACGTCGGGTCACCTTTCTTCCTACAGTGTTTTGACGGCTGCACAGTGCCAACAGGATGAGACTTCAATTTACAGGGCAGCACGTGATGTGCTCCTCGGAGCACAGGTTACCTTGGCTGCTGCCCTACCACATCTTCCACAGCACAGCCCAGCGAATCTGAACCACTGCGGTTCCTCCTGTGACCATGCTCGTATGAAGCCTACGTGCTTGTCTGTGCAGAGCCGTCTGCTTGGAATACAACTGGAAACACCCACTCATCTTACAAGTCTGAGGTTAGAAATCACCTTATCTTTGAAGCCTTTTCTGACCACTATTCTTCTCCAATACAATTGATCATTTCCGCCTTTGCACCTTGCCTCCACTAGATGTCAAATGTAGTTCTTATGTAGGACCTACAAACCTTTAGTACTTGTTTTTGTCTCCCCAAAACCCTAACCTTTACCCTAAATGCCTAAAACAATATCTGGCACATAACTCATGTTCAATGTTTGCTGAAGAAATGATTGTATGAGAGGAAAAACTTTTATGTACAAGGACACTGACTAAACACTACCACCGCAAAGAAACAAAAAATGATTAAGCAAATCATGGTTTATCTACCAGAAGATACATAGCCATTAAAAAAAGGTTTTAAAGGGTACACAAGCAGGAAAATGTCTGGTGTTAAAGAGGAAAAAAGCAAAATATAAAACATGGCACACAAACTTTGCTTTTAAAAAATATATAGTAACAAATCAAAATATTTATAGTAGTTATATCTGAGTGGTAAGACAATGGAAGATAAGTCTTTCTCCTTTGTATTGTATCTGTATTTTCTTTAATTTTCTGTATATTATTATTTTATAATAAATATGAATAATTTAAGTGGTAGCACTTCTAAAATTAGATTGTAATGATAGCTGCACAACTCTGAAAATACAAAAAAGTGAAATGTACATTTTAGTTGGGTGGATGTCACAGCATGTGCATTATACATATCTTAATAAAGCTGATAAAAATGTACATATCTACTTAAATCTTTATTGCAAAAGCACAATAATAAAAAAGAAATAAAATGCAGAAGAACCAGAAAGGGCCTAAGAAATTATACAGGCCAGTTCTCTCATTTTGCAATTTAGAGAAAAGCCCTGCCCAAAGCTGCTACTTCATTAGTGGCCAATCCTAGACTGGGATTCAGGCCTCCTCCCAATACCACTGCTGTTTATACTCAGGCCAAAGGAACGATGTTAGTTTAATAAATCTAGCCCTGATAAGGTGTTTTTGATCCCAAGCTCATTTAAAAGAAGTGTTGCCCCAAAATAAAACTTTTGGAAAGAAACCGTCCCTGAGAATAAGAATGAAATCAAAGGGAATTTATTTAATACCAGATTTCAGCTCAATATATTTGATAGAAACCCTTAATAATTACAATTCAATGAAGGAACAGGCATGTTTGTGATCACTACAACTGCTGTAATTCAAAAACAGGACAAGGCTGGACACTTGAACTTTCAAGATGCCCTCCTAACCAAGATTTTTTTATTCTAAATGAAAAGGTCAATATCACAAATAAGATTACAGCTGCAATCTGTAAATGTCTCATTTCAGTACTGCAGTATTCTCAGACAGAGCCTGACACTGATCCACATTACAATGAATTTCTCCCCACAAAAGCGTTCAATATCAGCATGAGTTCAACCTTTCTACAAGCTATGAGAAATTATGTTACTAATGGCCAAATACTTAGATTTTAAATATTAAAATTTATCTAATAAGACTGGCAATTATACAGTTACCACTCATCCCAATTTAAATCATATTTAATACATTAACTTTAAAACTCCTTACCATAAAGAACAGACTGGATGAATGTGTGCACTAATTATTTTAGCAATGCCTCTTGTCAAGAAATCCCAGATGACGATTCGGCCATCATTACAGCCAACTGCAAGCAGTGTGCCCCACCTATTAAAGGTGCAAGTCAGGGCCATGCTGATACAATCCAAAGTTCCATCAGCTTCCTAAAAATTAAAATGAAGGTAAGAATACAGAAATTAATACCCAGATATCCAAATCATTTCCTAAAAGTTTCTCTAACATCTGTGATACTTCTTTTGAATTTAAACTATGAAACATATCAAAATAATCTATGTGTGTTCTTGTATTTCTTAAACCAAAATGAAGAAAGATTTATAAAAACAGAGAATTCTTAGAAACAGATGTGACCAATCCCTTATATTACTACTATGACTTTATACAAATTCTCCAGAAGGCAATTAGGCAAAATAAACCAGGATTCACTAAGAGTCATCTTACTGATCAAGCAATCATAGTTCTTGAAATTTATTCCAAGAAAGATAATCTATTAATAAAACAAAATCCCTAGGAAAATCAAATAAATTTATATTAATATCAAGCCATTTAAACACCCCAAGTATTACAAAATATTTTTACATTTTAAAAAGTAAAGCACACTTACAGTATACATGTATTATTATTATGTAAAAACTGATCAAAACTATAAAAATACACAGAAAAAAACGTTTTCATACAGGTGATAGTACTGTTTGTGAAAAATGCTTTAATCAAAGTCTTTTTTAAATTTAAAGGGAAATGAACCATAAGATTTACAACATTGAGATTTCCAACCAATATGGCCTGTCTACTTCCCACCCTGTTCAAAATTAAACTTTAGTTACTTTTATAGCAAAAGATCATCACACTTAATGCTTCTATTATCAAAGGAAAAAAAAGATGAAAATGTAGTTTTCACTCTACTCAAACATAAAAGCTAGCAAGTTGCCGTGTTTCTAAAATCACAATATTATACTCTTACCTCTGGATAATTCTGCCCAAAGGACTCTGCAACAAAACAAAGAAAGAGAGTTGATGGAACATGTGCAACATACCAGGAATCCTACAGCACACCAAGTACAGAGTGGCCTGCAAAGTGTGGGTGCGGAACTGGGGCTTGTGCAGGGGCCCCAAGAGGTCACACTGATTTTTATTATCATACCAAGATGGCACTTGCCTTTTTACTCTCATTATCTCATAAGTTTAGAGATAAGTTCTACTGATGCTATTCAAGCTGTGAAACACTGTGAATATAGAATCCAGCCAACTTCTATCTAGGCAAACATTAAACAGGCTTGTAAAAATGCAAAATACCTCTCTTCTCACTGAATATTTTTTGTTCTGAAAAGTTATTTTTCATTAAAACGTTCTTAACGTGAACATGTAATGGTGTATTTTACACTTATGTAGCAAACTTTAATAGCTCAAATTAGTCAAGTTATCTTAAATCCCAGCTACTCTCTTAAACCCTTCATTAACAGCAGTCAACCAACAGGAGTCATCTCCAGTCTAAACAATAGATAGCACTTAGGCTATAACATAATTTGGTAGTTGGTTAAACACATAATTCTCTATATTAATTTCTTCAGCAAATAACATTTTGATACACACATCTCTGAACATTCCTATATTAGGCATTTACACATTAGGGTAAATTTTTTCTAAAAAATGTTTATTACTAATGTGTAAATGTCAAAATTACATTTGGTATGGTTTTTTCAGTAGTTATGAAGGGATGTGAGAGTTGCAGTATAAAGAAAGCTGAGCGTCAAAGAACTGATGCTTTCGAACTGTGGTATTGGAGAAGACTCTCGAGAGTCCCTTGGACTGAAACGAGATCAAACCAGTCCATCTGAAAGGAAATCAACCCTGAATATTCATTGGAAAGACTGATGTTGAAGCTAAAACTCCAATACTGTGGACACCTGATGCGAAGAACTGACTCATTTGAAAAGACCCAGATGCTGGGAAAGATTGAAGGTGGGAGGAGAAGGGGACAACAGAGGATGGTTGGATGGCATCACCAACTCAATCAACATAAGTCTGAGTAAACTCTGGGAGTTGGTGACGGACAGGGAGGCCTGGCGTGCTGTGGTCCATGGGGTCGCAAAGAGCCAGACACAACTGAGTGGCTGAACTGAACTGAATAAACATTTTGAGCTACAGTATGATGATACTCCCTGCTTATCAGAAGTTTGTTTAATGCAGCAACATCTTTATCAATATTTACTTATGTTATTACCTAAATATTTTATTACAGTGATATTTAAACTATACTCTTAGAACTACAGTTCCAAGAAAGCTGTTTACATTTAGGATATCCAAATAAGATTCCATTTAAAAAATAAGACTAATAGTTTTAGTTTTTCATCATATGATAAAGCAATTTCACTCCTGGGTATATATTTGAAGAAAATGAAAACACTAACTCAAAAAGATTCATGCAACCTAACATTCATCGCAGCACTCTTTACAACAGCTAAGATAACAGAAGCAACTTAAGTGCCCATCAACAGATGAATGTGTAAAGAAGTTATGGAAAGTGTGCATATGGACGTATATGTGTGTGTATGTACACATATACATTTATATAAGTAATAATATATTTCTCAGTCATAAAGAAGAATAAAATGCTGCCATTTGTTACCAGTGGAGAGAGGGACAGAGGACAGGGAGAGAGGTACAAACTATTATGCATAAAATAAACAAACTCTAAGGATATATTGTACAGCAAGGGGAATGTAACCAATACTTCATAGTAACTTTAAATGGAGTATAATCTATAAAAATATTGAATCACTGTGTTGTATACCTGAAACTAACTAATGGTGTAAATCAACTGTACTTCGATTTTTTTAAAAAGACATCTAATTTTTTAAAATCTGAAAATAAATTTTATTAATTTTATCTTTTATAAAAATTAACAGAAATCTAAACAGTGAGAACATTAAAACTAGTCAAAAGAAATCAGGCCTTAAAATTAAGAAAACTAAAAGATGAGTACAAAGCTGAACAACTGCCCAGCCCCCCAAAAAGGCAATCATTTTGATTTATCTAATGTGTGCCAAACTTTAGTGTGATTGCATTCAAATATTAAAGACAAGAAGGAAATGAAAAGCTGAAACCAGATCAAGATAGGCTTTTTTTTTAAAAGAATCTTTTAAAAATTACTAAAGTAATACATGTAAGTAATACAAATATGTATAATTAAAAAATGATGGTTTCCCCCTGCAACCCCCAATTCAATTCTTGGTTCAGGAAGATTTCCTGGAGAAGGGACAGGCTGCCCACTCCAGTATTCTTAGGCTCCCCTTGTGGCTCAGCTGGTAAAGAATCCGTCTGCAATGCGGGAGACCTGGGTTCGATCTCTGGGTTGGGAAGATCCCCTGGAGAAGGGAAAGGCTACCCAAGCCAGTATTCTGGCCTGGAGAACTCCATGGACTGTATAGTCCAGGGGGTCACAAAGAGTCGGACACAACTGAGCAACTTTCACTCCCACTCACCAAGGTAAAAGCTTCCATATACTTCTGTATGCTTACAGAAACATTAACATACTTAAGGTTTGTTTCCTAAATAAAATACTATTAGGTTGGTGCAAAAGTAACTGCAGTTTAGAATTGCTGAACTTTTCATTTGATACTGGAATACATTCTTAAATATGGTTATGTTACACATCATTTCAATGCACATTTCTTGCTTTGTTGCTAATGACTTATTACTTACTGTTTATTTCATATTTATTTTAAACTTGGGAAATGATGCTAGACAAAAAGTAAATTCTAGCAATTTTCTCATTCAAGTTCGTAAAGCAGCAAAGACAACTCACAACATCAACAGTCCATTTGGCCCAGGAACTACTGGTGGACATACAATGCCAGCGGTGGTTCAAGAAGTTCTGCAAAGGAAGATGAGAGCCTTGAAGATGAGGAGCACAGTAGCCAGTTATTGAAAGTTGACAACAACCAACTGAGAGATATCACTGAAGCTGGTCCTCTTACAACTAAACCACAAGTTGCTGAAGAACTCAGGGTCTACCATCCTACGGTCATTCTGCATTTGGAGCAAATTGGAAAGAAGAAAAAGCTTGATAAGTGGTGCCTTATATATAATTTTGCCTTATGAGCTGACAAAAATTTTTCAAAAAGTTGTTTCAAAGTGTCATTTTCTCTTATTCTATATAACAACAATGAACCCTTTCTCAAATCAGATTGTGATGTGTGATGAAAAGTGAATTTTATATGACAATTGGCAATGACTAGCTCAGTGGTTGGAC